GAAGTTATCATTAATAGTTTAATAAATTTGTAGGAACAAAATATTGTCTTTTTCTATACCATGTTTAATATTCTGTTTTAATGTATTCGCATGTATGCAAACGAACCATTCAATTTTCGCAAATCAATACTTTAAGTAATAGAAATTCTTTCATGAGTATACACAATAACATGGGTTTTCAAATGAAGGGACACTATGTAATCTGATCATTTTAAAATGTTTTGTTTAGATATTTGATTGTAGAAAAAATTGTGTAAAATATTGACTTCTAGTACTATGTTTAAGAGGCCATTTCTGTGATTCAATATGGCGTATTCTTTTGCACAGAGTGAAAGAGACAGATATGGAATGTTTATAGACAAGAGTGAAGATAAACGTGTAAATATAAGTTTAAGCGAATCACAACATGGTTCTGATAATGATTATTTGGATCTTGGATTTGCTTGGCTAAACGAATACGACAAGGATGGGAATTATCATGCGAGCAATCGGCACGCTACTCAAAATGAAAACAGCCGGTCAACGCGACGATCAAGGCAGCGAAGACATCGACAGGAAGCTATTTCCGATGAAGATCGGTCGAGTTCTGTTAAAGATCTTCAAAATTCTAGGAGAACAGGTGTAAGGGAAACTGATGAAGATGTCATCCGTTTGACACGTGCAAGACGACATGCACGTCGCAAGCGTAAGAACAATGATTTACGCGAAACAAATGCTCGTGAACTCAGGCAAACTAAAAAAGATGATTTTGAGGATATTGGAGATAATAATTTAGAGAACACGACGCATGTCTATGCAAATAGAATAAATAGAGATCAGTCTCCCATCTTAACGGTGAGGGACAATGATATGAATCCAAACAATTCTCGAAGATCTAGACAGAGAAAGCCTGCTTATTCCGACTATAATGGTATGGATGAGATGGGGCGTACTCTTCATTCTCGAGGCCTGCAATCTAATAAAACTGCTGAAGAAAACCTTTATGATTCGAAAGCTTTCGGCGCTACTCAAAACACAACAGGTTTCACATCAAACATACAAACTGACGAAAATGATGAAGAAAATCCTTATGGTTGGAAAGCTCTTGGTGCTACTCGAATCCGTACATTTAAAACGCCAAACATAGAAACAGACGAATACTTCGAAGAAAAACCTTATGGTTGAAAGCTCTTGGTGCTACACGAAAAACTTCATCTAACAAGAAAAATATGGAAGCGTACGAAAATGATGAAGAAAATCCTTATAGAAAGCTCTAGGTGTTACTAAATACCATACAGCTCTGAAGGTAGGAAAGTGCTCGGTGCTACTCGAACATCTTCCTCGCACAGGCAGAGCAAACATAACGATGCAATCGTAGAAGAAAATCCTTATAGTCGGAAAGCTCTTGACAGAACACAACAAACTCATAGCTCTGTAAACGTTACAAGAGATAGAACATCAAGAAAAAGAACATTTCGTCAAGCCTCCTTGTCAAAAAGACGCTCACATACATCTGAAAGACAACCTTCAAGTATAGGATCTAATACAGAAAGAAGAATTGCTCGTGCAAAACGATTGTCAACTTTACCCGAAGAAAGTTCAAAACATGAAGTTATAGTAAGAGACGGTGACGAACAACCCATAGATGTAAATGCCGTTATTCGGAATACAAATAGAAACAGTCAGGCATTTAGAAATACTGCTGGAGGCAGAGGCCTTCGTGGTACATACGACTATGCATATACAAGGCAAATACGACGAGAGTCAACAGAGCAAATACAGCAAGGGTCTGTACGAAACAAAGATCGAGAATCTGCACGACATATACATCGAGAGTCAACGCCAAACATACAACGGGAGTCACTGCAAAACAACGATCTAGAGTCAGGACAATTTGACATACAGCCGGCCATTACACGCACACGTATTCCCAATCGTCATAAGATACACTGGGCGGAAACACATACCCCAGACCAAAGTGTAAAGAGATGGACTGATATAGCAACAGACTACGTTACAATGAGAAAATGGTACGAGATGTTTGTAAAGGTAAGTACTCAATTTTGAAATTGATACTGAATTTGCACCTTATTTCTGTCCATTGTTTGTTTTCTTGTATACAGCACACACATACGGGCGTGAACGATTGCTTGCATTTGAAATAACTGTCCGTGGACAATTTCAATGGACCTTTCCAGTTTTGTTTTTTTTGTTTTGCAACTGAATAACTGATTACCCAATAGCTACTTTGGAGTAATACATAGTCACTAGTTGACCTGGTTTACACAAAGAGAACAAATGATGACTAAGCAATTGATCACAATGACCAGAAAAGGCGATGTGCTAAATGCTGGAAAGATCTATATAATTGAGCCCGCAATTTTTTCATTTTCCGTATTGGTTTGCATTCCTGGTTTTCTTTTTTCACAATTTTATCAATGTTTGAATATGATAAAACAATTATATAAAAAGTTGACCTGAAAAAAGCAGTACATAATGAAAATGGAAAGTTTGAAAGTTGTGATTTTACAGACATTTTATAATTACACTTTGGTATGAATAAGAATATAAGACTATTAACCGTTGGGTAATATCTTATTAAGATCATAGTAGGTGTTAAATACTCGTTTGGTAATCATTTGCAAGCAAAAAAGCCATTTCGTTTGGGTACCTTTTTTTTACTTTCAAAATTATTAAAATCATAATAGGCATATATTCTTTCCACTTTGAACAACAGACATTCATTCGAATATGAATTCGAATTAGGTTAGTTTCCTGTACATAATCACGTTCTCCAAAGCCTTGCTATGTGGTTAATTTTGATAGAGTCACATAAAACCTTTTCATGTAATAAGATGACAATGATTTCTGCTCATGTACAACTTAAACAGTAAAACCACTATTGCTTTTTCCTTCATGACATTTCTTCCTGTGCATGGAAATATATTTGCAAAGCATTTGTACAAAACAGAGTTGACATACTATTCCTTTTAATATCACTTGTAGAGGCGAGAAATGGTCACACATGTAGTTCTGTCTTCTATTACTAGTATATAACTGTGAAAATTTTACCATATACGAACATTTCTTCATTGTGAAATTCATGAATGTATTCCAATGAATGAAAATAAGATATTTGACGCAAAAATGCAATATGGGGAAAATGACCAATAAACATTACATAAAACTTTTTTTTATTGAAAATAATGGAAAACAAAAATTGAAAAGAATTAGTCATACATTGTTTATTTTGGCATTATCTATTAATTGTGATTACAAATCAAATACTTTTTCTCTAAAATAAAGCAATGTTTGATGTTGTACAGGGATTTTTTAAAACACTAATTATCGTGACTCAATTTGATCGAATGAATGAACTGTATTTTGGCTGTTTAATAATACTTTTATGACACTTACATATTTAATGTCTATTTAGCAATAATGCATTTTTTTCTATTGTATAGAGAGTGTAAGGAATCGATATAATGACATTTGAAAATGATCGTATCTCATTTATAGAGTTCAATAGGCTTTGTAGAAAGTTTGAATAGGCCAATGGTTTAAAAGAAGGAAGTACTAATGATATATAGTACACTTTATCTACCATTGGTTAACACTATATATGACGTATACAAGGGTATATTGGCATGTCAAATAATGGTAACATGATATGCTAAAATTTGAATAGTCAATAGTTTTTTTTAAATCTAAGTTCAATTATGATTGCGTTACGAGTCAAATAATGGAAAATATTAAAATCGGTATTAAATGGGTTCAATAGTTATAATAATGATGATGATGATAATAATAATAATAATAATAACAGCATAAACAGATGATTTTAAAGGGCCCTCTTACTTTAGAGTGGTTACGTTTTTTTGCAAAGGGTATTTTCATTGCAATATTCACAGATTCTCTAAGCATGCCATGGACTCCTTTATTCATTATAGAGGTCAGACCTATGTGTGTTTAGTAGATAATACAAATAGTGTAGTCGTTTTTTATTCTTTATATATTATTTTTTGCCTTACTTTAATTTTTTTTTTCGTCGCAAAAATTAAGCATATCCTTTTTGTATTTACGATTTAATATTCATCTTCAATGTCTTGTCCCTCCATATTTTGTATAATGTAATATGCATCGGAAACTAAACACAATACAACATTATTTTGCTTTTTTTCATTTTCTTTGTCGTCTTACGCCGATAAATGTATGTATACGAGTACACATTTGTTAACCTTCTATTCCAGATCAAGAAAAGATGGGCAGCAAATTACAAAGACCCATCTATACTGTCGGGAATTTCAGGAAGTACTGGCTTTAGACCAGGGACTATCATTTCTAGATCATTCGAAAAGAAACGACAATTAAGTGGAAGAAGAAGGCATGCTATAATATGTGCAGTTGTTTTCTTGGTCCTTCTAGTAGCTGTTGTGGTACCCGTATCAATTTTAACCTCAGGAAAGGAGTCTACAGCAGGCGAGTTATATATGATAGTCACGAAGTTTCAGCAATAAATAGAATTTATTATATACTTATAAATGAAATATTGAGAAATATTGATGAAATAAAATGCATATTTTCATTTTCTGTATTTGCACTGTAAAAGTTTATTTTTCTTATTTTCCGTATTTTCGGTGTCTTGCTGGACTGCTTTCTTCTAAATTCAGCGAATTCACAAAACTTAAGTAGAAGTTTTTCAAATTATAATGTAAAAAAAAAGAGAAAAATGTAGATAATAAACAAAAAAATTCAAGTTTTTTTTTCTACAAATACATGATTTGTGGTAAGAAAATTATCATATTTCACAAGTGGCTACCAACACTGATGAAATATTTATTTTCATACCATCCGATGAAAATAAAGTATGTATTTTTCATAGAAAGAACTTGAATAACTTCTATTTGTTATTGTAAACTTGAAGTCTATTGGCGCTAATTTATCAATTACGCACTAAGGTTAATTTTGAGATTAGCATAACAAAATGTTATAATTTTTATGTTTGTTTGTTTCTATTCGTTTAAAGATAAACTTATGCTGTTTGACATAGAAGTAGCTATTAACGAAACATATTCGTCCGAAATGTCGGACAATTCAACTGAAGAATTCCGCAGTATAGCACAGCTTTTCTGTAATCAGGTAGGTAAAACTCGTTATTTAATAACTGAAAAGTTATTGTCATGAGCACCTTAATACCTGACCATTGTTCTTATCATAATTTGGTTTTCAATTAAATGAATTGCAGAATTTTGGTTTTTACTAAACTCCGGATGACAAAATTTACGTGGGAACAGCGCAAACGAATGCAATTAAAACAACAAACGAGAAACTGTCAAATAAAGCTTTATTATAAGTTATTATATTACTACAAAATTACATTGACGACCATTAACTCATTTGAAAAAAAAACGTGCAGTACTACACTCATTCAACATATTTTATGTTCTTTTGTTACACATTCATTACGTTTTAGCATATGTTAACAATTAAATCGAACAGGCAATTAACTGACTTTCTACAGTTGCTTACTTTCTAACTGAATACATATTATATCTTCAGGTATCGGAATATATGCATTGCTACTTCTGCCTTGTTTTTGGATTGTAGCATATACATTTTATATTTACTGGTTTTAAAAATATCTGGAAAAAAGGTAGATCCTTCGAAAGCAATGAAAGCATCAAAACTGCATAAAAAATGAAGACTTGGTTTAAAAGAATCTGCTAATGAGGGAAACTGGAAAAATGTATCATCTCTCACGCCCCCCTAGCACCGGCTCAAGCGGCATTCAATCTTTAACAATTATAATTAGTTAACTAAACTTTCAGTTTTATTTGTATTATGTTTCAGATTGATGCTGTAGATCAAAATGTGTCAAGTTTTACTTATGAGGGATGTTTAGTCACATCTTTAGGGTAAAGTTTTAAATGCTTTATAGCCTTACAAATTTGCTGTAATTGAACACGTATTTCTGTATAAATAATAACAAAATATTAATACAAAACCACTAAGCTGTTTGATTTGACATTATTTGGATTTTGTGTCGATATAGGGAAACAATTCCATTTATGCTTCTAATACTAAATTCAAAAGAATTTATTTTCTTAAAATTAATGTATTTTTACGAAATTATATAAAAAAATATAATTAAACATTACACTCTTTTAAAAATCGTATTGTTAATTTGTTGAATTATTTCTGATTAAAAAGCAATTTTCCTTTCAATACAGCGATTAAAATATAAGCTGTTTTTTTCCAGTAACGGGAGTATTACAGTCACAGTCATGTGGAACCTAGTTCTGGAAATTACAGACGACAATCAACCGTATAACACAACAATTTTAGAAAAATTTGGACTGGAAGAACAAGAGTTGCTGGGCTCTTTTTTAATTTCAAAACCTACTATAATACACTCGAGTAAACAAATCAGCGCAAATGAAATTGCAACATTTAGTAGTAAGTTTCTGTAGCATAGTATTTAAGTTTTTTATTCTTTACATTCATTACATACTGAGTAAAGCAATTATCCTTTTTACTCATTTTCCAAACAATATCATTTTGAAATACAAGCTCAGATCAGTCAGAGTTCACCAATAATGATATGTGGAAATGCAATCATATAAACTTCCATCATTCAAATTCATAATTTGTAAAATATGGCTGACTTCAGAATTACATCATCACATTATATCTAAGCACGATCTTCACAAGTTTACCCTATGTTAGGGACCGCATTGGAAATAAGGGTTAACCCCTGTTGCTCCCTTGGTGATAGTATGCATGTGATGGTTTTTGTGCTCTGTTTGTGTTGTGCTTTGTCCCTAACCATGTGTTATATATTTACCATGTATGTACATTATGCCAAAATAAACCTTATCTTATCTTAGGTTAATCCAATGGAAAAATTATATTTTAAATTTATTACCAAACATGTGAGTATATCAATATTAGTTGTTTCTTCCAACGATATAATACTGTATGTAAGTATATTTGTTGACGTTTTATTGCAGGGAGAGATTTCAATCAAAAATGCACTTTTGGTCAATCTTGTAGAGCAGTTTTCTCTGACTGTATTAACAATACCTGCACGTGTCCGGATCACAGGTTGTTCAACGTGTCAACTGGTACATGCACTCTAGCTGAGTAAGACTTTAAGTTTATTTCTTCTGTATTCCTTGTTTAAGTCATTTATGTTGTGCAATTAACGTTGTTTGAAAGTAACGTTCGTGTCGATTTTATGAAAGAAATCACTTTGTTAATATATAACATTAGTAAATTGAAATCAGATGAATTAACATTGCATTATTGTCAGGAAATATTGTCAACTATTATGTCATAATGTTATAGGTTTGTACATAAAATACTTGTTGATTTATGTGTAAACTATCAAAAGAATGATTATCTATCAAAGTGATAGCATATAAAGCTGTTGTAGATTTAAAAATACACCAACAAATAGTTTGTTTTTTTTGGAAAATGTTAAAAAGGAATTAAGTCCGTCCATCGACAACTGTTACATGATAAATGGCTTTATTAAATTGCTTCATTTTTTTCAGATTATAGCAGATGAAATAAAGGGTTTGCAAACGGACCAATCTATTAAACATGTAGATATTTTGACATCATAAGATAGTATTGCTGGCTCCTACGTGGATAACACTTACAAAATGTGACATAATTCAGTACTAAGACATGTCATCGAGGTATATGCAATGAATGTATCTACGAAGCAGACTGGAGATGATGGATTGTGATTTAAGAATACGAAATGTCTATTAATGAAACAACCATGTGCTTACTGAATGTGCAATATCATATGAGGCATCAATAGTTATTTGTAAATTTGTTTATTTATTAGTTTATTAAGGTTATTTCATTTGTACTTGTACTTCTCCTTTAGAAATGCAAACAAAGCCATTTAAAATTCATGCTGAGCTCATGCGAAAAATGTTAATGACTTTAGAAATTACAGAGAAAGTTATGTAGCGTTATTGAAAGCTTAGATAATTATATACTATTTTATGACCTAAGGGACATAACTACATGCATTTTCATACCAATTAACACAATGAATGGTCTTTGTATAGACTAGCCCATTTAGGAGGACAGAAATAAATACGATTTTAAACGTTAAACTAATCGGTATGATTATTTTCTCCCTGTGCAATTTCGCTAAGTGTTGTTTAGTAAGAAGCACATCTAGTTGTTTAGTAATAAGCACATCTATGAAGGTATAACCTTAGATAACAGTTTGATCGATGTTTCTGTAAGTTACATTCAAAGTGTAATCAGTATGCGCCTGTACATTGCCTTCTTATTTCAATAAAAAAAACACCGTGGAATAAAAGTTCGAGTAATAAGAGTTTGAGTTATCAGTTAGGTATGACAAAATTTACTTATATCTGAGATGTTGGAGTGAGGTGACTTAGAAAAGTACAATATTAAGACTTTGACCAAATGTATGAAACAGTTGAATTGAGAGAGTACGATTCTCCGAAATGCACTAAGAATGTTGTCTTTTTTACAAGCCATTAAAAGGAATTGTTTATAAGGTAGAATTATGTTTTGTATATCAATATGTATATTTATTTGTTGTTTGTGTATTTATTATAGTATCCTTATATTAATTTTTTAAAAATATATTTTACTGTGAATATTATATTAGCATGCTCAAAGATAATAAAGTTGATCTTTCCAATTATGCATACTTAAAGACATCCCCCCCCAAAAAAAAAGGGAGGGAAAGAGGCCCATTGTCCATAACAATCCATAACAATCCCAAATGGCCACGACTGTCTGTATATCTGTCTGATACGGTTAATGTTACTTCGTTTTTTTTATTTAATGAAAGTTTTGTACAAAAATATAATCTTCAAATGATTTCCTTTCGCTTCCATGATAACCAGTGATATCCGCTGACCTAAACGTGAATATAATTCACATTTGCACAATTACTCGGCGTGTTTTACTAAAATAGAACAAATTTATGGCCTGCAAGAAAAAAAGAAGATATATTAAACTGACACTGTAATGGCTGTAAATATTTGCAAGTCTAATCCTAATTAAAACTGTGTTTTTTCAAGTTTCCATTTCTAGAACGGTCAATTATCAATTTGAAAATATATATTGCATACACACCGGTCTCTCAAATATCGACATTTTTCAGTGAGGCCGGTGTACATAATGGAAAATGTCAAAACAGAAATTTATTAAGTTAGTCAGCCATCAGTTTAAAGCCTGATTAGAGTGCACGGATGGTTAAGATACACTGTTTTTTACAGTTGTCATATGTTTACAATTACTTTTACTGAAAAGATCGATAACCGATTGATACCTAAAATGTACTAATCTGGTGAAAATAATGCAGAATAGATGTTGGTACCAAATAAGCACTTCTTCTTCTTCTTCCAGAACTGCACATAACCCGCTCTGGGGCATTAACGTACAGGGTGTATGTACAAAGTGTTGTGCGGCGAATAAATGCAAGTTTAAAAGAAGAGCAGGTCAAAAATATAATCAACTCCGGCATATTAGGGCCCCATGACTAATTCTACCTTGAAGGCCTCGCGGTTGACTGCTGTGGCGAGGTGCTCTAGAAGCTGGTTCCACAGACGGATGGCCGAAGGTACAAAGGAGAACTTCATGGTGTCGGTTCTGCAGAATGGGACATGGAATCTGGGTCCGTAGCCATGGCCACCAAGTGTCAGGGGTTAGAAGTACTGTTCAACTGAAATGGCTATGAGTTTGTGCGTGATCCCGTGGTGGACCATCGATCACTAGCTTGGAATTGGTGCGGCGATGCTGTGGTGTTGGAAAGCCTAGGTCTGCCATCATTGCAGTGCTGCTGCTCTAGTGTTGTAATCAACTTTAACAAATCGCGCAGCTCGCCTTTGGACAGCTTCCAGCTGGTTGATGTTGGTGGCTGTGTGTCGGTCCCAGACTGTGCCTGCGTAATCCAGGATTGGTCTAACAAGGGTCTTGTAGGCCTGGGCCTTGTGATGCTTTTTTTCTAAGGAATGATAGGGAGTTGTTGGTAGATTTTGTGTGTATATTCCATGAGAGATTATTTGCGATGTTGACACCAAGGTACTTTCCACTTTTGACTGATTGAAGAGTTGATTGGTGGACCTTGTAGGCATAATGATGGGCTTTCTTTTCTTGGTGATGTGTATTACTTTACATTTGCACGGATTGAAAGACATCATTTACTTGCGTTCCAATTCCTACGGTCGATCAAGGTCTTCTCGGAGAGCTAGTGAGTCGGCTTCTGATTTGATTTTTCTGTACATCAGGCTATCGTCAGCAAATAGACGGCTGGTGGAAGTCATGCACATTGGTAGGTCAGCACAGCAAAAGACCTAGTACTGTGTCCTGGGGTACCCCAGATGTGACTAGGGAGGACACTGACGAGTGGCCTTCAACGACGACCTGTTAGCTGCGGTCAGACAGGAATCTCTGGGTCCGGCTTCTGACTGTCCATCTGATGCTGAAGTGATCTACCTTGGAAAGGAGTCGTTGGTGAAGCACAACGTCGAACGCCTTGCTAAAGTTTAGTAGTATAGCGTCTACTTGTTCCCCTTGACCCATAGCTGATGACAGGTCTTGAAAAGTGAGAAGAAGCTGATTTTCAGTTGAGCGTTGTATTCTAAATCCATGTTGTTGATTTGACAGGATGTTGTGGTGGTCAAGGTGTTTCATTATTTGGCTATGAAGGATGTGTTCTAGGAGTTAGCTGCATACTGATGTGAGAGAGATGGGGCTGTAGTTGGCGGGATTGCTGTGGTCACCTTTTTGAAGATAGGTGATACATTTGCGTTCTTCCAGGCTAGATGGTACCGTTCCTTGTTGCAAAGAGGCGTTGAACAAGAGGAAGAGAGTCGGAGTAATGTCTTCGGCATAGTCCTTCAGGAATTTTGTCGGTATGTTGTCGGGACGAGAGGTCTTGTGGGGTTGAGGTTGAGGAAAAGTTTCTTGACGCCCTCAGTTCCTACTGTGAGGTGAGGCATGTCTGGGTATCTTTCTTCATCCATGGCTGGCATGTCTGTTGTGTCCTCTGTGGTGAACACTCAATTGAACTGTTTGTTCAATATGGTAGCCTTCTTACTTGGATCGTTGTGAGTAACACCATCACATTTCACTAGAGAGATTCCCGTGCTGTCAGACCGCTTCCCTTTGATGAAGAGTAGTTTTCTGCAACCATGTCCCTTACATAAGCTTGGTTTGCATTCCGACATTCATAGTGTTGCTCCTTTTGATGGTCTTTGTACCGCTTGATATCGTCTGCTGTCCCTGGGCACTAGGCTTTCTTGAATGCTCTCTTCTTTCTTCTAGAATGGCGCTTGATATTTGTTGTAATCCAAGGTTATAGTACACAGTTAAAAATATACTTAAAAATTATATTGTTCTTCATAAAACTTACTCTACGTGCCCTTTAAAAATATTTACAATATTTAGCAATTAATTTTGATTTCTGGCAAGTTGTATAACGTATGAATCTTCAACAGAACGGCAAAATTTATTAATGAAGCATCATCATTATTATACAATCATTATACAATCTAAAAACAATGTATGTGAGTTTAAATGACAATTTATTGTCTTGAGGCATATTGTTGATTCAAAGATATGATGGTCATAATACCATAAAAAGTGCATACTTAACTCAACAAATCCTAGCTTCTATAATTGTTTTAATATTCAGTTTTTTAGTGTAGGTTACACTAAAATACCGTATACGTTCATGGCGTCTCAAAACAAACTGTGTTCTGAATCAGATCCTCTCTTATTGGCAGAAGTTTATGTGTTGTTGTCAATAAATATTCATCAGATTTTAGTCCAGTCACCTCAATGGTTCCCGAGCGGTTGGTCATATGGTCCCCCTTCTCCGTTACTGATTGCCAAATTCTCAAAGATGACCTTAAGAAACTTGGACCTTGGGTAATATAGTAGAAATAGAATTAAACCCTAGTAAATGCTAAGTCCTCCACATAACGCGCAGTAAAAAATCCTTACCAGTTACCGTCAAACACTTAGCGCAGTAAAAAAATAATAAGATACCTTGGTGTAGACAGCAGCCAAGACCTAACCTTGAAAACACATAAAGACAGAGTTACAGCAAATGTAAACAGAAAACTGGGCTTCATCGCG